TTTTAAACAGAGGTGCAAAATACTGTTGCACTCTCTTGAAGCAGCAATGTACACACGTTGGTACATTTTTCTATGTTCAATATAAGGAAACCATCTTTAATGCACATGCATCCCAAAGTAGCCTTTAAGTCCAGATGTTGAATTATAGCATGGTAGTTGGTTAAAATATAATCTTATCTTAGACTTATCTCTCATTTGGTTCTTCTGGAAGAGTGATTTGCATAAGCTATTTGAATTCCAGAAATTCAGTTTTGAAAAATGACCTTGCTTCGTGTAGCCAAACGTTGAATAAAGTTGGACTGGACCTCATTATGGTCTTTAGGTATTACTTTCTTGTGACAGTGGACTATGCGACATGCTGCCCTAATGAAGGGCATTTATCGTTTAGTAAGGAGGTATTGGTTTGAGCACGTACTTTATATCAAGACCATTTGAAGGCTGAGGTTAACAGTGATATTAAATAAAGTCCTGCATAGATAAATGTTATCTTGTTTCTGCTTTTACCAATTTGTATCACTCCACTTAATAGTATCTAGCAGAATAGTGGCCATTTGAGAGATCCGGTGTGGTGTAGTGGTTAAGATGTTGACTCAGATTAGGACAAGGAGATCTAGATGCAAAGACCTTCCTCAGCCACAGCAGTTCGTCAGATCAATCTTTTGCTCTTGTACAATCCTACCTCTCTCACCATGTAAGGAATGAGTGGGATACGTGTCCAGCTCCCAAAGGAAAGACAGGATATAAATCTAACACATTTGCATTGCTACTGTGACCAACAAATGTTTTGGTTTCTTAGGGCCTTCTTTGCTATTGTGTCGGTAGATTTTCAATTTGAGCTCTTCTAGATGATTTGCTAGGTTCAAAAAGTAGATTGGGGGGCGGAGCTTGTAAAGTTGCTTTTTGTACATTAATAGAAGTTACTCCTCTCTTCAGCTACAGAGGCATTATGATGAATTTAACCATGGGGGGAGGGGATGGGGGTGAGTAGGGAGTCCTTGCCTGCAGGTTTATATTCTAAAAAATGTGACAAAGAGAGCTTGGGATGTCAAAATAATAGTATGCAATAATCAGTTGGAAAAAATACAGGAAGATTATCTTGATGAACATTATACAAAGGTACTTTGGAATATACAGGGGTGCATACATAGCACTTACCTGCAACTTCTTAAAATGAGTGTATGTCTTTTTGCCTTGGGTCATTGCTACAACTATACGGGGCAGCTGTGCAATCTGGATAAAGGACACGGTTGTGGATGCTATGCTACTGTCTCATGCACCGTGAAGCATCTTCTTGTCTTTCAACCTGGAGTGCTGCACAACTGTAGTAAACATGGAGTGTTTCAAAAGGATTTACAAGAAACCATCCAGCAGAGGGAGTACTTGGTCAATTAGAAGAGTTAAGATAATGATTCTTTATTCATGTCAGAAACACCTTCAAATTGTAGACATACGATGTTCAACACTGAGCATGTAAAATGTATTAAATAGGTCATAGAAATATACCAGTAGTATATAAAATAAATAGGATTAAAACTAAGTGACATTCACCCAATATTGGGCTACTACATCAACAGCATTTTCTTTCACCAGCATGAGATTTTCTTCTGTACATGTTGAAGGGTATCCTATGCACTGTAGACATGTGAAATGGATTGTTCTTCGGCACATTCACATAAAATATCCTCTATAGGGAAGCCCCATATATAATTGATTGAAGTCTCTGAATGATGCAGTGCTAGTGGCTGCTATCACAACATCAAATGTATTTGTTTCCTCTGATGCTTATTTTCAATAGTTTTCATTTTCCGGGTGATTGCCAGTATATTAGCCTTATTAAGCTGCTATTCAAAAATATTCCGATCTTGGTTGTTTTCTGGCAGACGTTTCATTGCCCACACTAGGTAATATCATCAGTGGTGAATTAAATGTCTGCCAAAAAAAGCCCCCAAAGATCTCTCATTTCAGCCATGAGCTACAGATGTTTTCCTTTATTAATACAGAATTCATCTAGTTCAGGGGTGTCAAACTGCCGGAATTGCATAGAAATTGGTAATATATTTAAAACATTTTGAGATGAGTTCTTTACCTTGCACTCCTGTCTCTCACACATAGTTTCTGTAAACTATTCCCTTCCCTTCCTTCTTCATCTGTTTGTAGCAAGAATTAAAATGGATTCTGGATTAGTAATGTAATTGAGTAGGAAGTATAACAGGCCTTTGCTTACTAACAGCAGTTGGGAGTGGAAACTTGTTACCGAGTGTCCTGGTCTCTTAAGCAAAATAATCTTGTGACTTAATCCCACTCTCACTTCCATCATTAAGCAAATCACCGTGGTCACTAAGTGAGACATCACATCTCACTTAATGACTTGTGATTCCACTTCTGTGTTCTCCCTTAAATCTGCTTGTTGGAAGCCAGTTGTGAAGCTTACAAATGGCAATTATCTGATGACAGGATGCTGTGATTGTTGTAAATAAGGGTTGCAAAGGATCCAAATGGTGATCACATGACTGTAGGATGTAATAGTGGCTGTAAATGGAAGGAGTGGTCACAGTTTTCCCCCCCAACCACTGTTAAATTGAAATGGCTATTTAACAAGGCAGTCAGTAAATTAGGACCACCAGCCTCAACACAATGTCTTTTATAAAAGTGCATGAGCATGCAGTTTCAACTGAATGGTGCACGTGTTCCTGTGCATGTGTTTCCTTTCTCTCTCTTTCTCTCTCCTCCTTTCTAGGCCTCTGCTAGGAGTCATACCTTGAAGAAGGCTAGAAGCCAGTAAGTGAAATTGTTGGAGCTGACCCAGGACTGAGTATCTCACTCAAGTCTATTAGAGTAACAGAGATGGGATGAGATATTGTGAAAACTGAACTTATAGTGCTACTTCTCTTGGTTATTACTGAGGTTCCAGTTAAACAGAAAACAATAATTTTTCCAATATTTTCCACCAAACCAAGTTGACTTGAAATAATATGAATTGCATGTAGAAGTTGAGACTAGTTGTTACAGTTTTATGTCGATCTAAAACTTTGCATGGACTTACCGCTATCACAGAGTACCTTTTCCATTTAGGACATGGCTTTAAAGGTCAGTAATAATCACAGAAAGCTGTCATCATATACAAGATCCATTTGGAAAGAAATGAAACAGCAGTCAAGTTCTGCACACAGAATGCTGTCCAGCCCAAGAAGTCATATATATAGTTTATGCAAAAGGTGTTATGTCACTTGTGGGATTACTTGCGCTTTGAGTTCTTATTTTTATGACCAATGTAGCTTTTAATTTTGCTCATTCAAAACTATTTTGATATAATGGGAATATTATATAACTTATATTTGTCAGATTCTTGGATTTCCCTAGCTGGAGTTGTTGAGTGTCTTCCAATGGTGTATTTGGTGGTTGGTTATTCTGCTTTGGAAGTGTGGTTATACGATTACTTAATAGCCTGTCACAAAACTATTAAGCTCAGATGAATCAGGCAACCTCAGTCTTTCTAATACCACAATGAATTTTCTGTTCATAGTCCATACTATTCTGTAGCAAGTGAATATATATTTAGGGTGGAGGAAATGATAACCGCATTTGTGCTCTCTGCAGAGAATATTTTATTGTATTTATTTATTGCTGCTATTGAATTTAAGTGCTGTCAAAACGCTTGGCAATTGTTTATGCTATTAGAAACATTGCTGCTACCATCACTGAGGGAGAAGAGTTTTAGAAGTTAACTCATAATATCCTTGCAGCTATACGATACAGAATTGTTTAACTAGGTTGGGGGAGGGTCATGCTTTTATAAGTCAGTTAAATATCAAGGGTTTTGTAGGGTTACAGGCTAATCACCACATTGACTGGAAGGAAGCCCTTTGATCTTCAGGAGACTTTTGAACGGCATATATAGCATTCTATATTTTAATGCCCCAAAACTAGCCAGTTGTAAGGGCCTGGGTCAAATGCATCATCAGTCTGGAATCCCTACACCCCTGTGAAAGAGACCCAAGGCCAGCCTCCCTTGAAGTCCATTGACTGTTATCTGGCACCAATTTGCCTTGAGCGTTAGTAGATCAGATTCTTGTATATAGGTTGCATGGGAAAAAAACATATAGCGCTTTCTGAACTCTGTCTTGGCTCCTGGTTTCTTGATACCACCAATAAGTCTTCATTAGAGAAATTTCTGTATTTTTTTAATCAATTAACACACACAAAGCATTTCCAGTAATATATATAATATAAATGATTTTAAATGAGCGATATAGCTTTAAAGAGATAAAATGGGCAGTACTGTACAGTAATCCGTCTGGTTGAACAAAGGATCTGATAATCAGCAGCGTGTGTTTTTGTGCCTATTTTTTCTCCTAGAATATTTTTAAAACTATAGAAGAAAAGCATTTATTTCTAGCATGATATCCCAAAGGCTGAATAATTCTCTTTCTTTGCATAACATGGCAAAGTACTAGCAGGGCAATATAAAGTTTGTATATGCCAGTGATGGCGAACCTTTTAGAGACCGAGTGCCCAAAAACTGGCTCCACCCCCCCTACCCGCCCCTATCCCCCCCCCGCCTGCCCACAGGACCATTCACCGCTTCCAGGGCCCAATCGCACAGGCAGCCCAGCAGCGCTATGGCGGCCACACCCTCTGCCCGCGCCCTGCAGCATCAACTGCATGATGGGATGTGAGAGCAGAGTCTGCCATGTCCTTGGCTGCGCTGCCATGTCCTTGGTTGCGCTGCTCCATGTGGGCCATGCTCGAGGGCGAGTCTCCTTCAGGGGGGCTGCTGGAGGGGGGGTCACGGGGGGAGGCAAGGCTGGGGCAACGGCACGTGTGCCCACAGAGAGGGCTCCGAGTGCCGCCTCTGGCACCCGTGCCATAGGTTCACCACCACTGGTATATGCTGTATATGCTATATATATGCAATATAAAGTTTGCAAGAGAATTTGCTAATAGTTTTCTCCTTACTTCTCTGTGTTTAACACCAGATATCCTTTTTTTAAAAATTTCAGTTTCAGTTGGTGTTCGATGGATGATAGCAGTAACAGAAATTAACAAAGGCTCAACTTACGGCAACCACGGACACAAGGAGAAGCAAAAATGAAATCTCCAGAGACTGCTTCATACCCAAAGGGAACAAGCTTGTGAACTGCTGTGCACATCTATCTTCAGACATGAAGACCAGGAATCTGCTAGAGAGAGCTCGTGCCTTCACTGAAGTCACCTCTCTTCTCTATTCATCTCTCCCCCCCCAACCCCCACCCTGCTCCAGCTGGCAACAAGAGTCAATAGTCTGCAATTCATTTTATTTTTTTCTATACTTTTTTATTATTCAGATTTTTCAGAGAAGCAGGGTTTTTTTTTAAACTAAGGAAGAGACAATATGCAAAGTATAGGAAGAAAGCAAATGAAGGAATTAATATTCTTTTTTTCTGAATAAATCTTTAATGGATTAAAATATGAAATAAAGTTTACTTTCCTACAAGATGACCAAAATGAGTATTTTATGTATTTAACTAAGAAAGTAAGAACTTCCTTACTTTGTTCTTTCTAGTCTGGTGGCGTGTTTCCCAATTGTGACCAACAAGCTGCCTCAGGAAAGCCCAGAGAGGCTTGTTATAGTCCAGTGTTTCTCAACCTTGACAATTTTAAGGCATGTGGACTTCAACTCCCAGAATTCCACAGCCAGCAATGCTGGCTGTGAAATTCTGGGAGTTGAAGTCCACATGCCTTAAAATTGTCAAGGTTGAGAAACACTGTTATAGTCTGTATTCCAAATGCATTTTAGATTTGTTTAGTTTCACTTCTAATCTATTTTTGTGGAAGTAATTGTTTTAACCAATAAGTGATTCTTGAATAGTACTTTCACTGAGCTACTTAGCACTATCCAAATATTTATCCTTTGGCCAGCCTGATAAAAATAGGAAGTCTTTCCCCTTAACATTTGTTTTCAGTTTGCAAAGAGACTTGTATTACCAGTTTGTTTTCAGTTCACTTCAGAAAGTGAAGTGAATGCAGTTAGTTCTCTTTTATTTTGCAATCCCATTTTTTTAAAATTTGCATTTGTTTATTTCCTTTGTGGACTTGGCTCCAGAGTACTCATTCTCAACCCTTTATTACATTTGGAAAGGTTTAACATTTCCAGTCATAATTACATATCCTAAAGTAATCTATTTCTTGCATTCTTCTACTGTAAAAACAATTTTGCTTTTTTGCTTTATTCTTTAATCATTATGAATCTATAAAAGACTGTCTCTTTACTCCCAAGATTTCAGTGAAGTTAAAAGCTGTCTGAAAGTCCATTTACAGAAATATCCACACAATGCAGTTATTCATACATCAACATTCCCAAGGAACTCAAAGCATTAGTGAAGTTATTTCTATAGAAACTCTTATTCACTAAAACTTATTTTCTATATGCACAGTATTATCTTTAATACTACTATCCAAATTAGATAGTAAATTATATGGCCCATCTTTTCTAGAATCCTCATTTAAAATTTAAATACAGGTGTTACATTGGCTGTATTCCTAGTATATGATATAATGATCATGAAAATTATATTAGAATATTGACAGTATCTCAGCTTGGATAGTACTCTGGCCTCTTTGATGTATAGATCTGCACTGCTACTATTATGTCTCCCTGTGGAATTTATCATATTCTAATAATATATTACACCAAACTCTAATGTAGATTATTTGGTTTAGGCCAAATAAATCTGCAAACTCTTGATATTTTAATTTGTAAACAAAGCTTTAGAGTTCTGTGGCTTAAGTAAAAATCCAACCTTTATACTACAATGGTTTGTTTAGCATTCTAAAATTCACTGTTTGAGGTAGACTGTTTTTAGTAGTTAACGGTGTATCCAACATCCCAACCATTTAAAAATACTCTTGTGAATCCCTTAGCAAGGACCAAATCCAAGCTAACAGCCACCCTCTTACTTTTGAAAGGGAAAATTATCAGGACCACAAGAATTTAACTGATATATTTGGCAGAATGAGACTTTTAGCAGACAACTGGATAGTTGAAACCTTTCATCAAAACTGTTTAATTTTTTCTGAAGCTTCAATCCTGCTTTACCTCTTCTGACTGCTTTGATTTATAGCAGACTCCAAGCAACAGGTCTTTCTGGTTAGCTTGCCCTTTTATTTAGCTCAGTTGCTTTCAACATGTCTGTTACCATTAATCCAGTGGACCTGTACGCAGGTAAGTTCATTCCTGATATACAGGCAGTCCTCAACTTACAACAGTTCATTTGACCGTTCAGTTACAATGGCACTGGAAAAAAGGACTTACGATTGTTTTTCACACTCAGGGCCACTGCAGCTTCTCCATGGTCATGTTATCAAAACGACTGACTCATATTTATGATGGTTGCAGTGTCCCAGGGTCATGTGATCACCCTTTGCAACCTTCTGACAAGCAAAGTCAGTGGTGAGGAAGCCAGATTCACTAAACAGGTGTGTTACTAACTTAACTGCAGTGATTCACTTAACAACTGTGACAAGAAAGGTCATAAAGCTCACTTAACTGTCTCTCTTAGCAACAGAAATTTGGGGTTCAATTGTAGTCGTAAGTCAAGGGCTACTTGTGGTATGGAGAAATTCAAGATAATGTATTAAAATTCCCTCATTCAGCTTCCCCTTTCCATTATGCTGAACAAGTGATTTCCAAAACACTTCGCTTTACTGCTGCATTCAATCCATCACTTATCCATCTATTACTCTAACAGACTTATGATTCCCCACCTTTATATTTACTGCTTTTCAAAGTTTACTTGGAAAAAAAAAATCTCTTGTTGAACTTTTGTTTTCCATGGATAATAATGATCGGAATACCAACTGGATCCTCCTGGCCAGTGTCGTTTATGATGTATTTCTTGGAAATAGAAACTTCCTTCCTTGCACAGCAGGATTACTTTATTTTAAAGGCTGTCTCATTCCTGCTTAATTTCTTTCAACTTCTGAAACCACATGAAATACAAAAAGGCCCGACTATAATTTAAGCAAAATTTAAACATTTAGTGCTTCATTGACAAGCATCGCTTTCAGTCTAAAAAAGTGAACTGACCTAGATGCCATGTTTTAATCAACTTTTAACCCATACGTTATCGTGATATCCAAATGCCAAGGAAGATATATAGCTTGATTGTTGCTAAAATAGCAGTGTACTTAGATGTGAAATTGTAAATGTACTTTTCAACACACCATTAACGAAATAGAGGGGTGCTGAGAAATCAGGGCTAAATATAAGCATATGATATCAATGGAGATGCATGCATGTGTCTTTATAAAAGAATTGCAACTATGGATATTGTACAGGGAGACGCCACATCTGATTTAAACAAGTAGAGGAGTTAAAAAGCGAGGATTAAAATTTGGCCATTCAGTCTGTGTAAGAGAACTGCGAACATTATGTTTAAGCCCTTATAACGGTAGCCAAATGTGCACGAATTGAATTGGAATCTTCTTTGCTAGACTTTTGCTTTGAAAATCACATGCAATTTAGCTATTCTTGGCTGATAACCACTTTTCTCTATCAGATGAATTTCCTTTGTTCAAGGAAATGAACCACTGAACTATTTAAAGGAATTATTTATAGAAGCTTCATTACACTTGCAACTCTGAATTTTGGTTTGGGGGGGGGGGGGAAGAACTACCATAGCAGTAATAGGGAGTTAAAACCACAGCCTGATATGTTACTGAAGTCTATAATTGCAGGTGAATGACATAACTGATTCCTACATTAGTTACATCTGAAGATCTGGATTCACTCTTGAATTAAGCTTTAGTGGCAAGATATAAGCATAACTGTGAGCAATAGTAAGGGCTACTTACCTTCCCAGAAATTTTAAAATCCCTATCCAAACTATAGCTCAAATAAGCTACACAAGTGCAACTAAGACGCCTGATGATGATAAAGCCATTTAAGTATCAGCTTCAGCAACAAAATAGGAAACCAAGAACTTCCTAAAATAAACCATTTATTGAGAAAAAGCTTTTAAATTTCTTCAATCAACGTCTGCATAACGAATCAAGCTGGCCAATAAAAAACAGAAACAAAAAAACAGAAAAATAGAAGTTCACAGTCAGTGCACTCAACAAACAGGAGATTAAAAATAAGGTTCAGAATGCCTGATATAACACTAACTTTGTTTTTGAACCTAAAAGTTCAAAAATCCTACATATTAACATTACAGTTCTCAGTCATCTGAGAAACAGAGAAAGGACAAAAATAAGGTCATGGTCCATTATACAGTAGTAATGGCACTTTCACTGAAACATGCAGCTTCTTTAAACTCATGGGGCTGCCAGGGGAACAACAGGTGCCAAGGGAAACAAACAGCAGCAGCAGTAAAAGTGACGCCTGTCACTTGTGCAGTCTTCAGTCATGTTAGGCCTTGAGTCATATCCTGTGTCTCAACACAGTCCAAATGTAAATATTACATATAGTAGTGATTCAAAAATACTTCACCCGAATACAGGCAACCATGTGCATAGCTTCATTCTTCATCTGTGCACACCTGGGTGGTAACGAGAGAACGGACAATTAGCCCTATTAGGCTTTTCTTTTAAAGGTATGATGCTGTTGGACAGTGTTTCCCAACCGTGGCCATTTCTGGGTGTGAGGACTTCAACTCCCAGAATTCCACTGCCGGCATGGCCACCAGTTAAGAAATCTGGCAGTTGAAGTCTACAGGTATTAAAGTTGCCAAGGTTGGACACCCTTGGACTGAGCCAAATGTTGCACTTTGGAATCATGCTGACTGGGATTCAAGCTAATGCCCTTCGTGCCATCACCTGTCCTCCTCCAGCATCTTATGGCCGCTGAGCATATCTGGTTAGAATTAGGATACTTTTATTTTGCTTTAAAGATGCTTAGCCCGGCAGCAAAACTGTAGGCTCCCCTAAGTCTGCCCCTACCTCCTTTTGGTGCACTATTCATTGTCCCAAAGGCACACAAAGCCTAATCATTTAGAAGTTGCCAATAGGGGAAAACTCTGAAAATACAAGCAATGTCTTTATCTCCCAGTTAAGTTGGGGGTTACGTATTTATGCTGAATGAATTATGCTGTTCCAGTTCTTCTGATGACTCTAAAAGAAGAAAAATGTGCAGTAATTGCTTATGAAGACTAGAACTAAAATCCACAAGCTCTTTTTAATTTAAACAGGTACACTTACGTTCTAAAGAATAAGATCCACAGAGTTACTATCAAGAATAGCCAAGCTTAACTAACCTTGACAAATGAATGATCGAGGAGCTGGCTAGCTGTCCATCTCATCTTTGGATCACTCTCCAGGCAATGAGAAAGGAAATCTTTTCCTTCTGGACTTATCCTTTCAGGAATCGGGGGCTTATGACCCATTCCTACCCTATACATGATCTGAAAATTATGCTCAAATTCATGCCAGGGTCTCTGTAACAAAATAGAAGTAATCCAGGTTGAGAAACTGAATTTTCTCACTGTCTAGACACATAGTGGTAAGTTAGTTGCTGCATTTCTTCTTTGATAACAATAAGCTCTGATAAGTCTAATGAGTATGAAGATTCATAATCACATGGGGTGGGGGGCAATTCCAATCAGTGGGCAAGATTTAGCTATCTCTCTATTCCATTAATACATTTAAGAATCAAGCAATGCACCAAACAATATTCCCAAGCAGTTCTCATACTGGTTAGACTCTATTTACAATGTTGGCTTATCTGAAATCTGGAAACTAACTTACTCCCTATTTGGAGATAGCAGAAATCTGTGCAGACTTCTCTGAGATCTTCAAATAGGCTCCAAAAGATAAATGAACTAAATGATGTCGCAAGGACAAGATTCATTCATACTTCAACTTTAATAAATAGGTTCTATGCAGTTGAATCAGTTCTTTCTATTAAGCTTAGGAAAGTACACTCAGGATTTCAGTCAAAATTAATTCTTCTCTTGCCAGTGGCTTTTAACTGAGCAAAGTTCAACTTATTTAATATCCCAGAAATCCAATAATGGCATGCTTTAGATCATCCACAAGGCATCCTCAGTAACTAAATTGAGTGAACATCATATAGCAGGTGTCCCCAACCCCCGGTCCATGGATCAGCACCGGTCTGCAGCATGCCAGCAAGCGGGCCGCACAAATAGGCAAAGCTCCATCCTCAAAACCACACACCCCCTGGTCTGCAGAAAAACCTTTCTCCATGGCACCGGTCCCTGGTGCCCAAAAGGTGGGCGACCTCTGTCATATAGGAGACTTACCTTCCCTGTGACCATTTCAATCACAACGCATCCAAGGCTCCAGATGTCTGCTGCTCGTCCATGGCCTTCTCCTTTAGCTCTAGTAATCACTTCAGGAGCCATGTATGCTTTGAAACAACACACAGGATCACATCAGTTTATGCAACAAAAGGAACAGAAGGCTTCTCAACAAAGGGATTTGTCTGAGAAACCAAAGCTCGATCGGTAGTAAGCTACCCATCTCTGCTGCCATGTTTTTAAGTACAAAGTACAATCTTCGGTTATTCTATGTGAATTTAAGGTAGACATTATTGCTTATTTTAGAAACATTTTCACAAATTTTATTTTGCCTTTCCAAAATACGTTCTCTTTAAGAAAGAGCTACAGGTGTCCCACTCACTCTAGTGCAAGAGAAATATTTTCACACAGTTTTGTATCCCTACTAGGACTAGTACAAAGCTAGAAGTTAATTATAAAACAGTTGCACGCCCCTATAAAAATCGCTTTGCATAATATCAAAAATAACAGATAATATTGATGAGCGCTTTACTGATCTGCAGAGTTTGGACAATTGCGACAATGCAACCCGAAGATTTTATTTTTGATTTAGATTTACAGATCTGTACTGACACTGAAATTCCAGAAGGTGGCAGGACTTAAGCAATCTTGATCAACCTGGAAAACCTAAACAGTAGCTAAACTAGTACAGGTAGTCCTTGACTTACAACAGTTCCTTTAATGACCGTTCGAAGTTACAACAGCCCTGAAAAAAATGACTTAAAAATGACATCTTTCACACTTATGTCTAGTGCGGCATCCCTATGGTCATGTGATTTACATTCGGATTTTGACAACTGGTTCATATTTATGACGGCTGCAGTGTCCCAGGGTCATGTGACCACCCTTTTGTGACCTTCTGACAAGCAAAGTCAATGGGAAAGCCAGATTCACGGTGTTACTAATTTAACAACTGCGGTGATTCACTTAACAACGGTGGCAAGAAAAATCGTAAAATGGGGCAAAACTCACTTAACAAATTTCTTACTTAACAACATAGGTTTGGGGCTCAATTGTGGTCTTAAGTCAAGGACTAGCTGTCCTTGGAATGGAGGACAGGTGCTTTGTTGAAGATTAGAACTTACATTCTCATAATAAAATAAGATATGAAATCAACAGCATACAGTAGAGCAGGGCTTTTCAACCTTTTCACCCATTGTACCACTTTTAGGAGATAGCAATATCCGAGTACCACCAGTCGCCTAGCAAAGTGTCAAAAACTTGATGACCAACACTTACAACAGTTCGCTTAGTGACTGTTCAAAGTTACAATGGCACTGAAAAAAGTGCCCCCCAAGCCACAGCCGAGAAAGACACCTGCCTGCCCACCCGGCGGCGCTCTTCCTCCTGTCCGAGGTTTTCATTGTTGTGAGCATTTCTGTTGAGGATTGGCAGCGGGGGTGGGGTGGGGTGGTGTTTGGTTTTTATTCCCCCATCTGCTGGGTGGTTGCAGCAGGTTTTGGTCACTCCACATGACCCTGGGACACTGTGACCGTCATAAATATGAATCAGTTGCCAAGCATCTGAATGTAAATCACAAGACCCTGGAGATGCTGATTGGCGCTTCTTCTGGGCTCAGCAGAAGCGCCAGGATCAGCGCCGAGCTCCAGCTGGAGCCTGGTGCTGATCCTGGCACTTCCGCTGAGCCCTGACAGCCCTGCAGCTCCAGCCATCTCTCGCTCAGGCTTGTGAGGTGCTGCCACCGGTTCAGCTCATTCCCCTCCCCTGCTACCACTTTTCTAGGATGGTCGCGTGCCATCTGCAAGGTGCCAATGTAGCACAGGTGGTACCCGTACCACTGGTTGAAAAGCCTTGCAGTAGAGAATCTCAATGGCTACTAGATGGTGTTATATGCATAGATTTCGTTGTATGTTTTTCCTTACCGGCAGTTCCCAGAGTACTATTCACCTCCCCAGGCATTGTCTGGGTGTTATTCTTTAATTTTACGGAGCAGCCAAAATCTCCCAGCTTTATCAATCCTGATGATGTAAGAAAGATGTTTGCTCCTAAAAGCCAAAATAAACAAACAAACAAACAAACAAACAGATAAATAAATAAGATCTCACAATTAAACACTAGAGAAGATTTTAGATCCAAATTGTTACAGTACAATCAAGCTGTAAGTGTACATGCATTATAAATATCTGGACAGTTAATATTCCTGCTCACAAATTCCTATAAATATCCTGCATGCAATCGAGGATGGGCGATACACACATTTCCTTTGATTCATTTATCCCAGGGGTAGTCAACCTTGGCTCTTTTATGACTCGTGGACTTCAACTCCCAGAATTCCTGAGCCAGCACAGCTGGCTCAGGAATTCTGGGAGTTGAAGTCCACGAGTCATAAAAGAGCCAAGGTTGACTACCCCTGATTTATCCAAATCTTATTTCTGACCCAGCATTCCTGCATTCTCCAAATAAAAGATGGGGACTTTAATTATGTATCCCTTTCAAGATCTCTTAAGCACGAGGAAGAATTCGGGAAGAAAAACTGTCATTAAGTTTGCATAATTCCTGATCCCACAAGGCTAATAGCAGTTGTTCCTATTTTTCTTCTCCAGCTTGAGCTCTGAAAGGGAGGAAGAGCTTCCATCTGCAGGATGCTTCCTCAGTGCATTGCTATGGAAACTGAAAATGGTCTTCAAGAGAGGGAGAAGCAGAAATGGAGCAGCATAAATCGTTATTCAGGAAATCATTATTCAGGCGGGTCTGTCTCACTGCTTAAGCTACCTTGCTCAATAGTAGTAACTGTGAGAGGGACCTCGGAGTCCTAGTGGACAATCACTTAAATATGAGCCAGCAGTGTGCTGCAGCTGCCCAAAAAGCCAACGCGGTACTGGGCTGCATTAACAGGGGGATAGAATCAAGATCACATGAAGTATTAATGCCACTTTACAATGCCTTAGTAAGGCCACACTTGGAATACTGCATCCAGTTTTGGTCACCACGATGTAAAAAAGATGTTGAGACTCTAGAAAGAGTACAGAGAAGAACAACAAAGATGATTAGGGGACTGGAGGCTAAAACATATAAGGAACGGCTGCTGGAATTGGGTATGTCTAGTTTAACGAAGAGAAGGAAGAAGGGAGACATGATAGCAGTGTTCCAATATCTCAGGGGCTGCCATAAAGAAGAGGGTGTCAAGCTATTCTCCAAGGCACCTGAAGGCAGGACGAGAAGCAACGGATGGAAACTAATCAAGGAGAGAAGCAACCTAGAACTGAGGAGAAACTTCCTGACAGTTAGAACAATTAATCAGTGGAACAACCTGCCTCCAGAAGCGGTGAATGCTCCAACACTGGAAGTCTTTAAGAAGAGACTGGACAGCCATTTGTCTGAAATGGTGTAGGGTTTCCTGCCTGATCAGGGGGTTGGACTCGATGACCTCCAAAGTCCCTTCCAACTTTATTAATTATTATTATTATTATTATTATTATTATTATTATTATTATTATTATTATTATTATTATTATTATTATTATTATTATTATTATTATTATTATTATTATTATTATTATTATTAAATCTGCAAACGTGAGAAAGGAATGTTTAGGCCAATCCTTGGATCATGATGAATTACATTTAAAACCCAGCTGGAATGGCAACTTGACTTTCAAATGGTGAAAAACAACCATTAACATCCTGTGGTCAAGCATAATTGCCTGCTGCTTCTATTCTCTAAACAATCTCCCAAACATCAGCATGTAATATTTTCTTTTACATATGCTGATGCAATTATTGTTGTAACAAGTGTCCCCATTTGTGTCTTGATAAGTCCAAAGGCATCCTTCAGATTCAGTGGAAAGTGTCAGAATTTTCTGTTCTCTTCATTTATAAATACTGATCACAACTGTGAAAGATACAATCAGCCATACATTCTGGCTGGCAAGCAAGCAAACTCTCTTAAAACATCCAACTGTGGAGCAGAGGAACTGGGAAAGGCTGAAAATAATGCAACATGTTATTTGAAGTGATTTGTTTCTAAAATGCGTATCTGTTACACTTGGCTTTAAAGAAAAATCTGTTGAGCAGTCCAAAGTAGAAGAGAAATCTAAATAAATTACTACCTTTAATATCTCGATGCACTATACCATGTTCGTGCAACACATTGATGGCTGTTGTGATCTGCTTTGTGTAGAGTCTAATAACATGCTCTTGGAGGCCCAGCCTCGACACTTCTTCCAGCGTTCCCTCGTCACAATACTCCATAAAGATATACATTTCTTCCTGTAATTGAGGTGCAAAGAGTTTTAATTGGACATCCTCACTAGATAGAAAGCAGCTCTTTATTCATAGGCATGGTCCAATAAGCCCTGAATGTGAAATATGAGAGCTACTTTGGTGTAGTGGTTAAAGATACTAGGTTACAAGCCAGGAGACCAGGAGTTCTAGTACTCCATTAGACACAGAAGCTTCCCAGTTGCTCACTCGCAACCCCAGACAAGGCAAAACTGTGCTCTACCCACAAACAGTTAGCTGGTTACACTCCATAACCTTAATGGGTATTCATTGCATTTTGGAAGTTTTACTTAGCAATCACACACCCTATATTAGGGTGTGCGACAGAGTCCAAATCCTTTTTTGCCAACAGTCCATTGTGCGTACAGTAGGAAAGAGGACAAATCTTTGCTGTGATGAGCAACAAACATGGCTGCAGCAAATTACTCATATAATTCATATAATTTACTAAATGTCTAACTATAATAAGGGAAATACGGTTTTACATGCTTTTTACTGTTGTGCTTTGTTCTTTCTCAAAGATAGTAGCCTTTCTTTCTTTCTTTTTTTTACAAATTTCAGCCAAAGGTAGAAAAGAGAATCAAGTCTACTCCATCAGCTACCCTAAGAAAAGAGGCCTCTCTCCTACTTTTACCCATTTGAAACAGAGCTAGTTTTTCAGGCTATGCAAAGTCTTTTTGATAATTAAAAGAGGGACTAATGTTGAAGGTAAATTTTCTCTTTTCCCTTCCCTGTCTCCTTTTCCTTGCACGTAATTTCATTACATTTTTAAGACAACAGGTAGATGATGAACATCTTCTAGCACAGTGGTTCTCAACCTTTTTAATGCCGCGACCCCAACCGGTCGTAAGTCGAGGACTACCCAACCGGTCGTAAGTGGAGGACTTTCCCTGCCCGGGAGCGCTGCGCATGCGTGGTTCCGCCCCCTGCGCCGGCCGAGGCGTAGCTGGCAAGCGGCAGAGACGGAGCAGGCCGACCACCAGCTGGCCCAGCCCAAGGGAGGTAAGGCACCCGCCGGAAAAGGGGGAAAAAATGGCGGACAAAAAAA